AGCTATCCCTGCCCCATATGGTGTTTATGATAAACAAGTTACTGTACACGTAGACTTGTCACGTCCTATGACCCTGTGTTTGTGTTTTTGGACTTTTAATTTCTGGGGTTTTTTTTTTTGTTTGTTTCCACTTCACTCATTACCTTAGTTTGCCTGTGTTCCATTACGTTGTACTGTTTTTCATGTCGTACTGTGTTACTTTGTATTATGGGGGTTTATCCAGCTATATTTATATATGTTTATATATAAATATATGCGGTGGCCCCTAGAGACAAAACACGTACAAACTCCAAAACACATTTCTAGCATGAACTGAACTTCCAAACTTCCAAAGCAGAGCTACCTAGATGACTTAAATTACACAATTGAAAGCATGAAAGCATATGTGTATTGTTTGTGTATTTATACACAAGCATTCACATATAGTCAAATAATAAAAAACAAAAAAGTTTATTTACCTGTTATTACCAGATCCGGTCGTTGGTACTTGCTGGCTTGTGTAGCCACTAGGTAACAAAAGCTCAACACTGCCCCTAGCATCCTGGAGCACTTCTGTTGTCATTGTACTGTTTTGAGTTTTTATGTGCTTCTGAGTTTTTACGTGTTTTGGAGTTTGTATGTGCTTCGGAGTTTGTGCCTGGTGGACAAAAAATTGGTTAAGGGTTCCCCGAGCTTTCACGCCCCTCATGTTCTTCATGTGCCCACCACTAGAAGCATGCCTATGGAAAAAGTGCGCCGGCACACAGTGCAGTGCGCTTTATAGGTGTTATCGTGCATTTTCCCAGCCAGGTGTTTTCCTTTTCCCATTCCTCCCTGTACTTTTGCAGCCTATTTTTCTTTCTCTGAGGGGAACAAACATTGCTGCTCTAATGCTGGGCTTACTGGGCTTAATTCTGGCCCATTTTGAGATGATTTTTGAGTCGTGCGACCGATTTGGTGATTGGCCCAATTTTGGCCTTCATCGTGCACAGTGGCGTGTCCAGCGGGGTGGCCTGGGGGGGCACAGGCCACCCCCCCAACCAGACTGGCCACCCCAGGTGCCACCCCGAAGCTAAAACAATAAAATTTAATGAATTATCAAATGTACGATTATGGTTTCACAGTGAAGCTCAGATATCCGAGGGTAACTGAATGCAGCACCGGCTTCTGCAATATGCGCATCATGTTAGCAAAGGTAGGAGAGCCAAGCACGAAAGACGGCACCGCAGAAAACGTTTTTTCGGCGAAAGATTAACAAGTTAACATAGCTGGTCTAGCCATTGGACGTTTGCATGGTGGGCTGATGACTTATTAGGGGCGATCGTGGCTCAAGAGTTGGGAGTTCGCCTTGTAATCGGAAGGTTGCCGGTTCGAGCCCCGGCTCGGACAGTCTCGGTCGTTGTGTCCTTGGGCAAGACACTTCACCCGTTGCCTACTGGTGGTGGTCAGAGGGCCCGGTGGCACCAGTGTCCGGCAGCCTCGCCTCTGTCAGTGCGCCCCAGGGTGGCTGTGGCTACGATGTAGCTTGCCGTCACCAGTGTGTGAATGGGTGGATGACTGGATGTGTAAAGCGCTTTGGGGTCCTTAGGGACTAGAAAAGCGCTATACAAGTACAGGCCATTTACCATTTATTTATTTTTTTTGTAACGGCATGAACAATGAGAAGTGGTGGATTGGCCACATGCTGGCCGATGTGTAAAAATCACTCAGTTGTTTGGTGGTGGCTATGGCGGAGCTTCCACAGAGGCAACAGGTGGATGAGGGAAGGGGAGGCAGGAGGAGAGACCCGAGGCGGCCGCCGGTCCAAGTGTCAGGTGAACTGAACTTCAGGTAAGAAGTTATGACCTGCAGTCTATCTGGGTCAGATATGAACTAAGTTTAGGTGCAGTTTATTTTCATTGTGCTGACTTTTTACAGTCAGTTACAATACCTCATACTGCGTGAGCTAGCATGAGGAGTTTCTATACAGCTGTTCAGTTGCTATGATGTTACTGATAGTGAACTTTATTTTATTCATAAGGTTAGTTAGTAGAGTTGCCAACAGCTCCTTAAAAAATGGAATGGTCCCTCATTCAGAGAAAATATTACGCGTTTCGTATTGAGCTGAGAAGAGACGCAGTTTGTCCCGTACTTCAGCTAGGATGGAAAAAGACACAAAGCTGGAGTTATTCTGTCTTTACAGCTGCCTCTTCTATTGCTACTTCAATCATGAAACTGATCAATGATCAGCTGATCGTCTCTCTTGTTTGTTTATCGCCCACTTTGCGCCATGAAAGAGGAAACCAGCGGATGTCGCGCTAAACAACAGCAACACGTTTAAGCTTGATCAGCTGTTGTTAGAATTTATTTAATATTACTTTCTAGTATCAGCTGATGTTTGCTGGAGCCACAGCTGTAAAGCTGCTGGTCATGATGTCGGTTTGGATATGTGGTGAGAGGGAAACATGAAGATGAAACCAGGCGATGTCCTTACTGAATCATCAGAGCTGAACAGGTGATGGAGAAACAGGTTTACCTTTTAGGTGACATGAATGAGTTGAAGGGAAGTTATGAACTGTTTCTGAGAGACAAATAACACCAGGATCCTTTTCTAAGTAGCTGACAGCTGGTAACTGTGCAGGGGCGGGTCTAGCAAAGTGTTGCCAGGGGGGCAGGTAGGGCATTAACAGGGAGAGGGGGGCACAAAGAAATACTTTTCTTTTTTATTCTCATTTAAAATATCTCGCTTTTATTAAATAATTATCTAAATCGTACAACCAAAGTTTTTATCTGACATAAAATGTATAGAAATCATACATATACCAAAAAGACTGTGTACATCACTGTCACAACAGTGTTTGTTTTCATTCAAAGGCTTTATGGCTTTAATACCTGGTGGGCCGGTCTGTAGTCAAAATGCCCAATTTTCTGTCCCAGTCCAGCCCTGCAGGTTATACTGGCAGTGTCACCATGCCAGCTGACTGGATTTCATCATCAGCCAGTGTTGTTCTTTATCAATATTACCAAAGTTTACCATAACGCAGCATAGAAAGTATTTACTTGCTTTCAGGTTTTATTCAAATGTTAGTCTTTTCATTTGTTTCCCCACTTTTTTCCTGTTTCAAAATCAAACACCAGTTTGTGAGAAGATTATCTTCTTTTTTTTTAACAGGCATTGGCTAATTTGCCAATTGTATGTCAAAAATGTTCATATTTTAATATTCAAAAATGTTTTTGCCCAAAACATATGTGCACTACATGTCAGTAAAAATACTATACAAATATTGCTGTCCTTGAATGCTGAGTAAACACTGACTGATTGTATCTCTTGTACTTTATCAACGCAGTATCTAAAAACTTTGCACCGTAGTGGTTAAAATCTCATTCTAATAAGAGTTAAAAGCGCATTCGGTTATTAGGTTTACAGGGTTATTGAATTATGGTTAACGGTTGGTAGAATTGTTTTTAACATTATCTGCCAATTACATCTGCCACCCTTCTCCAAATCTGTGCCCCTACCTGGCCCCCCCAACAAAAATTTTCTAGACATGCCACTGATCGTGCATCTTGTAGTATACATGGGGTAACGAGAAGCGATTAACACCTCACGACCAGCTCCCGATCATCAATCGCTCGTGAGGGTGTCACCACAGCCGCTCACACTGCTCACGGGCAAACACGTAAACGTCGGTGAAAAAGACGAAGCAGCACGGCTGTGCGGCCTGTGATCTGGACACAAGCGATGGAGGCACAACTTGGAGAACTTTGGAAAGCTCATCCGAGCCTTTTCGATGTGGCATCACAAAATTATCATGACCACAACAACCGTGAAAATAGTTGGATTTACATTGCTGCTTAATCACAGCTGCCTGATCAATGTTTTTCATTAGCAATTTAGCAAAGTTGATGGTGGTGGTGTGCATGTCTGTGAAAGACAGAGAGAGAGCGAGCGACATAATTTCTGTTATAACCTTCATTTTATGGAGGCACAGTGTGAGCACTCAGGTCGCATCAGAGCATCAGGCGGTATAGTGTGAGACTCTGCATCGTGACCGACCAACTTCTAACCTCTGCGAGTCAATCGTGCAGTTTGAGCAGGAGCTGAATAACGTGACTGAAAAAATCGCACAGTGTCTGCTCAGCTTTAGGTGTACTGTCGTCCGAGACTTGCACCGCAGTGTCGGCGTTTGTTTCCCTGTTGGCCATGCTTCTTGTTGTGGTCATCTGTTGTCTTCCGGTATTTTCTCCGTAAGCGACCTTTCCTCGACCAATGAGATGAGCGGTAATCTGAATTGTCATACTCAAATTGTCATAAGTGTGGTGTCAGCTCATTGGTCACAAAGCAGGAGAGGGGCTGGGAATTATGATTTCAAACAAAGCGTTAATTCCATAAACATTTATAGACTACTTTTGATTCTCACTGTATTACGGGACAAAGTGCGTCCCTTATTAGCTCAATACGGGACGTGTACTTTTGTTTCTAAATACGGGACGATTCGGTTTTTTAAGGGACGGTTGGCAACCCTAGTTGTGGCGTTAACGTCATTTCAGATTAACGCTGACAGCACTAGTGGGAACACAACGAATATGACTGCACATTTACTCTGACATCATCCTAGTGCAAAGACAAGTGGAAGCAGACAAAAACAACAAGCATGCATGCTACAAACTTTACAGAGTAATTTAGACAGCCGTTAGCACATGATTCTCCTTATGGGGACCTGATATGTTTAATATGCTGCTGAGAATATAGCCCTGAAGAAGCGTATAGTATAGCTTTTATTTTGGAAAGAGCCATTTCTCTGTAATAAACTCTCTTTTCCAAAGATCAGTGATTTCTCGATCAGATAGATTTATTTTTTTTATTACTTTGTTGTTTCAGCAACATTAAATTTAAAAACTGTACTTTTGAGTTAAAATATATATTTATAATTTTAATAAATGACAAATTAAAAAGGCATGAACATTTTTTTGTATCGAAAAAATATCGAACCGTGACACCAAATATATATATATATATATGACAACTGTATGTTACTCACGATGGACAGACAACTTGCTTTCCTTTTTTTCCTTTCTTTGTGGATTTTCCTTCTTTACTTGAGGCAAGTTGCCAACAGCAGAGCAGCAAAAGCAGCAAAATCACTGGCCTCAATCCAACAGCCATGGTGCCTGAAACAGAGTTTAATACTGGCCTCAGTACATACAACATATAGCTTAAAAAAAGAACAATATTGTTGCAAACTTAGCACAAGATTTCACCACATGTAGGAATCCACTAGAATTTATTTTTTTATGCATATCATTATAGATGTGATTACGTTTTGGAAATACATCACTTTGTTTGAGACTCTTTACAGTATTTATCTGTGTCTATGCTATCACATTCAGCTTAAAGCTTGAAAAATACTTCACTGAAATTTGTCCTAGAAATGTTCACGGAGTATAAAACAGAAAGGTATTTAGCTGACAAACTAGCCAGACAGAAATAATAATGAAAATAAATAATAATAATGATCTATTATTGCTGTGTCCCTTATAAACCTAGGAGTGGCAGCACCATTTATACTCGCCTCATCTTAATTGGATATAGTTATTCAATTCATTAAGTGTTAATCCATATATCTACGGTCAAGGACATTTTTTAAAAGCAGGATGCCACTTTCTACATGAAAATGGTATATGTAGGTTTTTGAGATGCCTCACTTGAAGTATTTTACCATTATATTTTATCAAGATATTTAATGTGACAAAAAATCATGTTAAGAAGAAATAAATTCATAGCTACAGAAATCACTTTTTACATTCTTTGGTTTTATACATGTAGCTTACAGTATATGTACTAAAAGTCTGTATACTCAGTAATGCAGCATTGGTACATATTGGTAGGATGGCCTTGATTGTCTATGAGTAACAATAATAATGACATGTTCAGTGACCTTTCTGACACAGTTTTAATGGTGCACAGTTTGCAGCCACTCAAAAAAGTTCAGTGTGATTGCCCTTCCTGATCTGTAGGTGTCACTGGCTCTGATGCTCCCCGAGCTGACCACATCAAAATACAACATCCTCTTCACTATAAACTGAAGAATTTTGTGGCACATGTTGAAAGACCTCAGCTTCCTCGGAAAATAGAGCCTGTCCATAGAATGTTTTTTTCTGGGATAGTAATGCTAATTCCAACATTTCAAGTTTATGAATGTTTTTGCTATTGCTATATAAACAATTAATATTTGGTTAAAGTTCAACTTTCATTCAAAGGTTTTTGGAAAATATTTTGCAACTTTTTGGAAAATTGTTTAATTAATAATAGCCTTTATACATCCTCCTCATTCCATCTGAAGTTGATCACCATTTCTTTGTCTTTGGCCTTATTAAGATTCAGAAGATGATGAGTCAATAAAATGAACAAGATTTCTGTACTCCTTGCCCATCATTTTAAAAGAGCTATCCAAGCACAAGCAAAATTCCCAAATTAAACACTCTGTTGTTGTTGTTTACTTTTGACCAGTTACTGGGATCGAAGATTCTCTTGCCCTTTCTACCAGCAATTTGAATGTTTGTCTTTAATAAAAAACATGAATACAATAAATATATAAATAATCACAAATCAAAAGGAAAGGTTCTTCTATTCAAAAGCATTATATGCTGTACATCAAAATTCTCCTCTTTTTTATAATGATAGACTGACAGATAATTGAGGAAATATTTTAAATTTCTCCAAACTCCTCTGATACATCGAACATGCAGACCCAAGCTTGTTTCACCATTGGCATTTATTATCAGTGGAGTGATTTTAATATCACCGGATGGCTTATATAACTGTTTTATTACACCAATCTTATCACTGCCAATAACAAGCTAAGTAACTGGATGCTGGCTGGCTTAATTTACCTAGTCATAGTGGCTTATAGGAGCGTGTGTGTTTGTGTGTCATATTTTTTTAAACATGCATCCATCCATCCATCCATCCATCCATCCATCCATTCATTCATTCATTCATCCATTTTTAAGATAAGATAAGATACCTTTATTAGTCCCACACGTGGGAAATTTGTTTTGTCACAGCAGGAAGTGGACAGTGCAAAAGTTATGAGGCAAAAATTAGAATACAATAAGAATAAATACAGTACACAACTGTACAGAATAGAATAAAATTAAATACTATATACAGTAGAATAAAATAAAATAAATATACAATAAGATAAGAATAGAATACAAATACAAATACTATATACAACTGAGTAAAAATACAACAATGACAGATAGGATTATTGCACTTAGTATTATTGCATATGTATGGATGTGTGTGCTTGATCAGTTAAAGTCTTTATTATGGAGTCTGACAGCAGTGGGGAGGAAAGACCTGCGAAATCTCTCCGTCCCACACCGTGGGTGCCGCAGTCTCCCACTGAAGGAGCTGCTCAGTGCTGTCACAGTCTGCTGCATGGGGTGGGAGATGTTGTCCATCAGGGATGACAGCTTAGCCGCCGTTCTCCTGTCACTCACCACCTCCACTGGGTCCAGAGGGCATCCTAGAACAGAGCTGGCCCTTCGGATCACCCTGTTCAGTCTCTTCCTGTCCCCAGCAGAGATGCTGCCGCCCCAGCAGACCACGCCATAAAAGATAGCAGAAGCCACAACAGAGTCATAGAAGGTCTTCAGGAGTGGGCCCTCCACTCCAAACGACCTGAGTCTCCGCAGCAGGTACAGCCTGCTCTGCCCTTTCCTGTAGAGGGCGTCTGAGTTATGAGTCCAGTCCAGTCTATTGTTCAGATGAACACCAAGGTACCTGTAGCTGTCCACAGCCTCAATGTCCATACCTTGGATGTTCAGTGGTTGCAGTGGAGAATGCTTGTGCCTGCGGAAGTCTACCACCAGTTCCTTGGTTTTACTGGCGTTGATCTGGAGGTAGTTCAGCTGGCACCAGTCCACAAAGTCTTGGGTCAGACCTCTGTACTCCTTGTCGTCCCCATCAGTGATGAGGCCGACTATTGCAGAGTCATCAGAGAACTTCTGCAGGAAGCACTGGGTGGAATTGTGGGAGAAGTCTGCAGTGTAGATGGTGAAGAGGAACGGAGCCAGAACCGTTCCCTGTGGGGCCCCCGTACTGCAGACGACCCTGTCCGACACAAAGCCCTGAGTCCTCACATACTGTGGTCGGTCGGTGAGGTAGTCCAGGATCCAGGTAGTGAGGTGATGGTCCACTCCAGAGTTCACCAGCTTGTCCTTTAGAACCGAGGGAAGAATGGTGTTGAAGGCACTGGAGAAATCAAAGAACATGATTCTCACAGTGCTTCCAGCGGTCTCCAGGTGAGCGAGGGAACGATGTAGGAGGTGAATGACGGCATCATCCGCTCCAATGCCAGGCTGGTAGGCAAACTGAAGTGGGTCCAGTGATGAGCTTATTAGGCGCCGAAGCTGAGCCAGGACCAACCGCTCCAGGGTCTTCATCAGGTGGGATGTCAGAGCCACCGGCCTGTAGCTGTTGAGGTCCTTGGGGCGTGAAGTCTTTGGCACTGGTACAACACAGGAGGTTTTCCAGAGCTGTGGGACTCTTCCCAACCTCAGGCTCAGGTTGAAGAGGTGCTCCATTTTCTTCCAGGGCCTGGTCGCGGGGCGGTAGCCTAAATATAGAAGCCTAGACCTCCCTCTCCCCAGCCACCTCCTATAGCTTATCCGGGGAGAACACCAAGGCATTCCCAGATCAAGCGAGAGAATTAACCTCCTGGGTCGGCTTCCTCCTGGTGGGCCATGTCAGAAGACTTCACCCTCACTAAGATTATGCCAGTGAGGATGACTACTACCACTCAGCGTCCTCCTCAATTTTGCATTCTTCTTGTGTTGTAAGTGCTATTTTCTAGTTTTTTTGGCAACAACTAACCACCTATGACAGACAGACTCTTTTAGACATCCTACAACATTCATAATCTGGGACCACACTGGTGGCTTAACTTGGATACCTGAGCAGAAACAACGCTGGAGGAAAAGGGAGAAAAGAGCCAGAGTTCTGGTCAGGCTGAGAAACAGACAACACGTTTCCCCTTTTTCCAAGATTCTTCTAGCTAACATCCAAATTTTGGGGAAAAAAATGGATGAACTGCTTTCCACAGCATATTATGGACTGCAATGTCTTTATTTGGTTGGATGCCTCAATCCCTGAATCGGCTATTCTTCCTTCTCCATTCATCGTCAGGACTGGACAAAGGAGTCCGGTAAGTGGAGGAGAGGTGGCGTGTCTATAATGACTAACAAGCAATGGCGTGTTTCATCAAGGTGCTCCCCTGATGTTGAACACCTCATGATCAAATGTGTTCTGTACCGCTGTTTATATTTTTTCCCCCTACGCTGACACTGTGTGGGTGCTGCCCAAGCTATATGATGTCAACCACTGGCAAGAAGTACTACACCCCAAAGCGACAAAGCCAGCCTGAAGAAAGTTCTGCCATGTAAGCTTTCCAACATGAATTAGAATAGAATTCAACTTTATTGTCATTGCACATGTCACAAGTACAAGGCAACGATATGCAGTTTGCATCCATCCAGAAAGTGCTTTAGCAATAGATATATTACAAAATATATATTAGCAATAAAATTGATATATAGGTATACTACAAAAATGGGTCTATTATGGGTATGTTACAATGTACATGGTATGACGGTATGTTATGAATATGCTATACTGTACTGAGTGTACAAGGTATGTACAGGCTATGAACAGGATATAAATATGAAAACTATACAGAGATATGAAATATGAAACTATACAGAAATATGAAATATGTTATAAACAGTTGAAGAACTATAATTATTGTATTGTACAGAATGATTGCCTATAAAGCATTTACAGTAGTGCAGTTTAGATCAGTGAGATATGTGGCTGATTTCAACAGTGGTTCTACAGTGGCTATAACATCCTGGATCACCTTTAGACCCCTTTCACATGTGCCTATAAAGCCCACCTTTCAGCAAATCAGATTACTCCTCAGTCCTGCTGCTACCAGCCAATAGGCAGAGGCTGAAGCACGAGCAACCAGCGACAATGAAATGATTGGGTTCAATGCTGAACCAACTAATCACACATGGTCCTGCATCACTCCTTCCACACTATGTACTGGGAGGTTTTTCAAACTGCTGCCAACAATAACGTAAATGACCACACAAACTGCTTA